GGTGAGCCTCTGCAACTTCTGCAGCTGTCACAGATAGGGAGCCTGAGCCCCTGCATCTTCTGCACCTGTCGCAGTTCGGGAGCCTAGAAGCTGCCACTGCCCAGCCCGGATGGAGCAAGTGTAGTTGGTAGGGGGGGGTGGCTAGTAGTAGTAGTAGTAGTAGTAGCAGCAGCAGGAGTAGTAGTAGTAGTAGTAGTAGTAGTAGTACTAGTAGTTGCTGTTGCTGTTGCTGTTGCTGTTGTTGCTGTTCTTGTAGTTCTTGTTGTTGTTGGTGACATTAATGCTATGGTCATAGTCAATAGGCAGTATTTCTATCATCACTGCTGCTACTAAGCAAGGCTCTTATGACGACTATCAGTTTTAACATTACAGTTATTGTTGTCGCTACTACATGTGTATTCAATATCATATTACTCCTGTTGCTGCTACTTACTCACTCAGCTACTGTTTGTGCCACGACGACGACGAGGACGACGGCGTCAACCACCGTTGCTGCTGCTGTTGTAGATTCCCTACCATTCGCATAACCACGAGTGCTGCGCATTGCCATGGACTCTGCAGCGAGTCAAAAGACAACTCCTAGCACAAACTTCTCATGACCGTCCTCAAACCTTGAATGACAGCTGTCCTGGATCATCGGGACCGCACAATCTCCCCAGCTATCACCAGCCATGAGGGTCTGAAAGAACCTGCTGGTTTGGTCATGCATGCGTGGTTCAGGTTGAACTAGCCTGTTCTGCTTGGTTGGCTCAAGATGCTGTGTCTGAAGGGCGAAGAACCCAATGCTTCCCGGTGAATCTTCATTCGACTGGCAGCTTGGTTATGCATGAAACGCAGCAATATGACACCGCAGCACATTGAAATGCTCCCAGATTAGAGTGCCTTCAATCCATCCCGACGAGAGCAAGCTCTTGAAGCGCTCTAGCACACAGACCCAGAAGAAAGGAAACGGCCCCGCTAAACAGAAAACAGCGAACTCAGTGAACCAGATTCTCTGTCAGACAGGTCGGGCAGTCCGCAGTTGAGGTCTAAAGCAGCAGATCGCCAGACTTTGCTGCCGGGCCACATGAGCATCACGCTGTAGACGGAATCAAAGGCCTGTTCTGGAGGAGGGGTCTCAAAGCCAAGATTTCCTCTTGGGTGGTTTTATGAGGTTTTCGGACAGTTAGCAACCACCCCCTCTGTCCACTTGGAGGAGCGTATGAAATTCGAGGAAGCCGATACCAGGAGTTCCGATTTCTTGGCTCCGCACCGACAGGCACAGGTCGTTGTTGCCGTGTATTCTGTGCGCCGATCCGTGCCTATGCTGCAAAGGCTGGCAAGACAAGATGGTCTGGTAAGTTGTGGTTTGACGGTCGTGTTTGCATATGCTGATCGAGGAACTCCGGTCTTCCACTTTGGACTTTGAGGGTGCATGGATACATAATAACTGTGAGGTGTCCACCATTATCATCTTCATCCACAGCCAGACCCTCGTCCACAGCATTGCATGGTCTGCTTCATTCCTCTTCGTCCGAAACACACATCCTGTTGCAAACTGAATATTCTGGCTTTTGGATGGAGAACTACCCATGGAAGATGACTGCGGTTGTGCGCAACATGTTACAAGTGCATTGCCTTCATGTCTGTGGGTTGCAACCGAGCATCTTAACCCTCGTCTCTCTTGCTTCAAGCCCTACACGTAGACCGGCCACGGCTCAAATCGAATGCTCGAATGCCATTATGTCCAAGGGGCAGGAGCTCGACCGCAAGTACGGCCCAAACTGCCAGAAGCAGCATGACCATGATCAACCTGAGTTCTCATAGTTCTCGTGCATAAAGTTTGGGGTCTCCATATTCCCGCCGCCCTCGAACTCTGAAACCATTGTAGCCTTCTCTCGGTCACCCAAACCCTGAGAAGGGTCGAAGGGCCCCCAGAACACGGTGGTCAGCGCGCTGATGATGCCGGTGATCATGGCATGGAGTTCGGGCGACATGTGGACAATCCTGGCTTTTGGGCTGTGGAGTTTCGAAAGCTTTTGGGTTCTGGCTAACGCTCGGACTCTCGGGATTGTGTAATGCGGTCACGCTGAAGCTATGAATTTGGAGGTTCAGGCTCGGCTTGGAGCCGTCTGGCATGATGGTCATGGTGATGGCGACGATGATGATGACGATGATGCTGATGATCGTGATGTTGCTGCAGATGGTGATGGCGATGATGGAGATGAAAAATCAGATGAGGGTTGTTGATGATGATGCTGATGGTGATGTTGATGGTGATGTTGATGGTGATGGTGATGAAGTGATGTCGACGATCATCATCATGATCTTAGTAGTGATGCCGGTAATGGCGACAGCCATCATGGGAGTGCAAGCACCGTACGTCACGGTCCGCATCTCGTCGTTATCATGACCATCATCACCATCATCATCATCATCACCATCCTCTTCGTCGCCATCAAAGTCAGTAGCAGCAACTGCAACATCGAAACCACCCAAACCATGATCAAGACAGATCTCTTTCATTCTCTTTCTGTCAAGCTCTAGCTGAAATTGAGGGTCCCGCTGCAAGCTCAATACTACGTTTTGAGGCTTGCAAGATAGGGGTTATGAATAGTTCAGGGCTTATGGTCATGATGCGTTGAGTTCTGACTTGACGCACTTCCACAGAGTTATTTGGCTCTGCTCGGCGGTCCTGGCCGCTCGCGCAAGCCGCGCAATGCGAAAGAGACGCAAAAGCTGCACTTCTTGAAGCCCGGCCTCACATGGGACTTGAGGCTTTCGTTTGAGCCTAAAGTGTTTCTTAGTGGACACAGCCTTGGTGCCACTCGTCAACTACAAAGAAGCTACCGATCTTCTCTGCGACCATTTCCACCTGACTACAACTGCTGACAGCTAGCAAACTTTCCCGATGTCTTTTCATTCCGAGCCACCGTCGTCACAAGTGTGCTGATGATCACATCTACCCAGGCCACAATCACCTGAGCTCCCCGGTGTGACCATCTGTGGCACAAGGCTCGATTCCAAGCACAAGAGTGTGCGACACCCAGCGACCATACATATTGATTTTGATTGATGGGTGCTGCAAAAGACTAAGGACCTCGGGTCGATCAGAAGCCTTCCCCGTAAGTCAAGCCGCGATCATGATGTCGAATATCATCCACCAGTCTCGACACATTCGTCGTCGGTAGACGAAGAGCATGATCTCGGTGGCATGCAACATTCGCTTCTTAAGGTCACACATGCTGTGCATCAGTTACCACAGTAACAATGCAGCGGAAATTCGCCCCACACTCGTCATGACACTACAAATGCAGGGCAAACTCATTCCGAGTCTTGCACGAGGTCCAATCAACGTTCCTAAACAAGGAATTCTGGATCCCTGGTGCAATCTCAGAAATATCCTTCACAAAAAAACCCAGCGCAAACTCACAGCAACTCGGTTGAGTCGGCTAGTATGCATCGAGCAGCGCAGCTTTCGACCGTGTAGAACCCAACGAAGATGTAGTTGCAGATGCTCAGCCACACTGGCATGCAACCTGGGATCTTCATAAATCAATGTACGGGCAGCTCTTCTGTTCTTCTTATCTGATGAGCTTGCCGGCTCATGCTCGACGGATTGCGCGTAGCCTTCAGCATCTGTCGTGGATCTGCATGCTTCTCCCGTGTCTGCATTCTGCATGTTGTGACTGCATGCCTCAAAACATAAAGCTTGCCAGCTAGTCGCCAACCACAGTGTCGCCGCATGCGACGCCGGCATTAGCTTCAAAGACGATGATGATGAAGTTGCAGCAGATTACAAAACTGACCCACATCTCCTTGGTTGGAGGCACGAGGGTTTCGTTAGATCTTGCGCGGCGTGCGCGTACGAGACCCAAGTCAACATGAAGTCTTAAAACATCCGAAGCCTGGGCCTCCGGAGCTGACAGGCCTGTGCCAAATCAAGCTCAAAAAAACCGTCGTAAAAGAGACATCGGCACCGGGCGCGCGGGTCAGGCGTTCGGTTGAAGGCTTTGGGTCAACGGTTTGATGAAAAATAGGGCGGTTCGTCCACATTGGCGGGCGGAGGTGTGCCGCACAGCCTCTTTACAGGAAGAGAAGGACCTGCGTATCGGAGAGTTGGTGTTCGAAAGCTTCGCATCTCTGGGTCCGAAGCTTCAGGGTTTGGGGTATGAAGGCTTCGTTCTTCGGATCTAAGTGAAGGGCCAAGCGAGAAAAAACAACTAGGGGACAAGCAGAACAGCTCGGATGGACCAAGGTAGGGTGAAGCCCCGAAGAGCACAGAAATTTGCAAGATCCTACAGCTTCCTTCATCGCCAAAATTCCCATGGAGCAGAGATCACCAGGCTGTAGAATCGCCTCAGTGGGCAGTCTGGGCGGCTCATTCTCTTGTCATAATCGTCGACTGCCTTTGAAACCTTGCGAAAATTGACAGGAACTACGAACGGGCAATTCGGGCAAGCATGGCGACAGAAGAAAGAACACACAAATATGGTGCCGCACCGCAGCAACAATGATAATAAGATCGGCTATATTACTATAGTCACGATCACAATGAGATGAGGAATAATGATGGAACTACAACACATACTGTACCAGTCCACCAGCATCATGACAATCGTTAGCAGGAAAAGGGTGAAGAGGGTCGGATGAGAGGAACGTTTGGGGGTCAAACACTCAGCCGCGCCACCATCGGTAGCGGGAGAAGTCCTGCAAGTCCTGGCATGGTCGGATCAAGGTAGACAGACATCCAAACTATATACTCAGCACCGATGGCCTTGGCTTCACGCAAACCTTCTTTTCATCTCCGAAGAAGCACTGGCAAAAACCCACAAAACGCTCCTTGGAGTTGAACTTCTTGTCCTTCAGAGCCTTTTTGTGTGTTTCAGCGAAGCCTGGCACGGTTGAACTTGGAGCTTTGTCTCGGGAAGTGACGCGGAGCTCTCTGCGTCTCTGCATGCCAAGCTAGCATGGGATCGAAGGTATGAAGTAGGCACGTGATGTGTTCATGACGGATTTCCCGAACAAGTAACTTCTGTAAATAAAACAGGAGCAGGATGTCAGAAAGCTGTTGCATGTCTACCGCAGGTAACCACAGTACTTCCGGAACTTGGTGAAGTGTGCACATGCAGTTTCTGATGTGCCGACTGTGAAAGATGGGATGTACATCTATATGCCGACTGTCTACGTCCATCTTCCATCGTATGCGTACAGGCATGAGTCTGTCTGGCATGCGTACGTACATGAGACGGCTCATGCACATGCAAACCTGCTCAGAAATCGAGCTCGCGCTTTTCCGCACACCTCCCCCCAACTCCCGAAAGACTCCGGCCCCAAAACCCAAATCCACAGATCCTGAATCTGAAACCAGTCATGCTGGCCTTGGGCTGATCCAGGCATGGTGTCGTGGAGCCTTAGAGTAGAGTAGAATAACGGGAGATCAGGGCTAGGAGGCTTCATGATGCTTTGGGCCGGGGTACTTCTATCACAGCTTCGCGGTTAGCCCAGTCTTGGGCTTTGCGCCTGCGATTGACTGAAAGCCTGACGGAAGCTCGCGGGCGCCGAAAAATACTGGAGCTCGAAAGCCCACCGGGCCCTAACTATGTTCCAACACTTGAAAGCCCGAAGGGCTCCGAAGGACTCAGCCGAGTGACGAGGAGGCGATGGACGACTTCGAGTTGGCCATGCCACCCAGGAAGGTAGTCTGCCTTGCTCTTGACATAGTCTACTGAGAGTTCATTTTGTTGGTGCTGATTCAGGCTGCTTTCTGCTACGCTGCTACTCCTGCGGGACGTTTAAGTGTTCAGGGCGTTCGGGGACCCGACCTCGTCTGTCCTACTTTAAGAACGGCAGTGCGGCGTCGTAGCCTATGTTGAAAAAGTGGGTTTGCTGCAAACTCGTGCGCTCAGCACATAGGGCGCCCTACTGCAGGACTGCCTCAAGTGAAGGCTCGCCGAAACACAGTACTGTACATCTTGTCGCTTCTTCGGCAGTGTGAGCTGCTTTCATTGACTTCATGTCTGTTTCCGTGCACATACACTCCAAAGTCTTAGCCGAGGCTGAGGAAAAGTGAGTCGTCTTGGATTTCCCGTGCAGATCACACTGGCACATGTTGCCCGTCTATGTCGGTGTCAGCGACCTACCGAGCAAACTGCAGCAGGCAGCACCTTTTGTTTTGGTGATTACCTAGGGGACCTTAAGCAGAGCCCAACGGAGCCTCCAGATTTCTAGAGCTCAAGACCAGTCAAGACCTATTCTAAGTATTGAGAGGCTTCAACTCCCTCCAACTTTCAGCGAGCCACACCATGCCCAGCTGTCACCGGGGCCGATGGCACGGCACAAAGATCGAAGGTTAGAATCTAGAACGAGAGGAAGGGAGAAAACCAAGTGTTGATCTCAGACTCTGTTGCCCCGAAAGTCATGTCAGACCTTTCGATAGGAACTTCACCGAGACCCTTATGCGAGGAGTCGGTGGCTGCCCACAGCGACTCGCAACACTTTGGCAGTTTCTTTGCAGGCACAGGAAAGGGGAAACCCAGACCCAGAGCTCTCTAGCACAGGTAGCAAAGTCGGCGATGAATGTCCATGGTGACCGAAATATGACCGTCGTAACGCGTGATGGGGCTGCGAAATCCGAAGCTGAGAGCCATGAAACAGAGGCAATGGTAGAGAACAATGAGCTCCTTCTGTGTGATACCTCCTCCTTCGCCCGCAACTTCTCAAGCTATCCGACCAACTGCGAAGTGTCGCGATTCTGCGAGAGATGGCTGCTACGACCTGCTACCAGGGCTACGACCAAAGCACAAAGGCGAATTGCGCAAGGCCATGGATCGCAACTTGGCACAGCACGTCCCCTTGGCGGTGGTGACTCGGACCTCCTGCGAAGCACGAATGCCTAGAGGCCTAGATGTGCCTAAAGCGAACGCCGCTCCTGGGCGGAGACTGCGTGCGGTACTTACCCTCGAGGCCCTTCTCGGTTCCTGTCAAGGTCGACAATTGACAAGCAACAATAGATACATAACATCTACTATGATCTATTTTCCATTCTCTCAAAAAACTCAACAAATTTGTTGCTTCGCGCATGAGATGGCAATAAGGGATGCAAATAGTGCCAATTGCAGCTGCAGTCAAAGCTTGCACACGCATTTACGCAACGCTAAAGTGATTGCATCGCGTTGGCCTGAAGCTTTCGTACTATAAATCCGATTCACAGCTCTAAGCAGCAATCTCATGATGTCTCATGTGGACGAGCTCCCTTCCAGCGCAAACAAAGGCCTCCCTCCAAGCTAAGCCGTGCGTGCGAATCCGCTCATCTCGGGCACCTCCCGGATAGGACTCGAAGCGGTCACGCAGCCTGGAGCAGATCGGAGAGTCCCGAAGTCAACGCCGGCTGCCCTCTCTTCGATACTGGTAGGATCTGTTCCACAGGAGCCTCTCTGGGTCTGAACCGTCGAACTTGTGAATTTCAGGAACTCGGTTGTCATGCGGGACTTCATCGAGCATGCAAGTCGCTTCCGCCACCTCCACTAAATCAATGACACAGTTTCAAGAGCACTTTCCAACCCCCCCATCTTGATCTGACTTATCTAACCGCTGAGATCCACGCGTCTGCCTCTGACGCTCCAGACGCTCCAAGTGCCTGGCAGTAGGATTTTCGGCACATCTCCGCCAGCAGTGAGTGCACTGCGAACCGTCTGGAAATCGGAAGGAGCGACGACAAGGACTCGCGCAGCCGCCGGAGGGACACAGGCTCCTCCTGTTCAGGGAGAGAGGGAGGGGGCAGGGGCGGGCAGCTGAAATATATGCAATGCCGACAGGAGATGCCAGCCGGAAGCACTCAAACCACCTTCCTGCTATTACGCCCTTCTACACGTGGCAACAACACACCAGGCAGCAGAGTCCTGCGGACTTGATGACGTCATGCAACACACGGAAAGACCAAGAAAAAACAGGCTTGGGTCAGGCTTGCGGGATGCTCTGGGATGTGGGTCCAAGCGTTCTGCAGCCATGCCAGGAAGTTTCGTGAGGAGGCATTTGACCCTTTTCTCTTCCGTTTCGCAGTCGTGTGTGCTGATATGTGCTGATAATTGAGAAGTGCCAGAACAAAAAACACGTGCTTCGTCCTCGTGTCATGCTTGAAAAAACTGCGAGGTGCACGTATTGAACTCTAGCTCTCTCGCCTGTGCCTGCCTTTCTCCCTCTTCTCATTCTCCCTCGTCAGCACGTTTAGGGAAGGCGGGTTCTCCCTTACTTTCTTTCTGCCGGGCTTACGGGTCGTCCAGGCGACCCTCAGGCCTTCGGCCCGCCCGACCACCCATCTCTCTTTCTTTCTTTCTTTCGCCAGGGTTGTGGTGCAGAGGCCCCCTCTCTCTTTCTCTTTTGAGCGCTCATGAATTGAACTTGTTGTGATGGGGGGCGACGAACAACATGCACTCCCCTCCCTCTTCTTCAGCACAGGCAAAGGGTGCAGCGTGCTGCCTCCCCATGCCAATCCGCACACTGGTGAGTTTTGTCTAACCTACATCTCGCGACTCCACCTCTCCACCCTGCAGACTTAATGTAGATCTTTTGGGCCGAGCGCCTGCTGACGTTCTGGGAAGGGTGGGCCGTCCTCAGGTGGGACTTCGATGTACCCAGGGCCCAGGAACAGCTGTTGAGTCGGGTCTCTGGGCCCTTACCTTTCCGAAAGTCGCCGCTGTCGAGGAAGATGCAGTTGAGGTTCTGAGCACATGTAATAGCAAAGAACTCCTGGAAATGACAGGCCGGAACCTGAGTCGATATACGCACAACAGCAACGTACAGACCGCAAATGCCA